TTAAGGCTACACTTAGAAAAAGTGCAGCCTTAGCCAATGTATGGAAAAGTATGGCTACACTTGTTTATGAGATTCAACAGTAAAATTAAAGTAATTCATAATGCAATATGAGACAAAGCATATACTCACTGATCAATTAACAAAAATTTATTTGTCCTCTTTGATTTGATTTGATTTGAAAACAAAGCAAAAGAGTGAAAAAAAAGGAGCACAAGAAATTGGTAACGCTATAAAAAGATTCATTATTTGTCCTCTTTCATATCTAACTCTCTTTTAGCATGGTACTACACAAGTTTCACATGATGCCTAGTTAACATTGGAGATTGGAAAGCACATTCTTGACAGGATGGATTAAGATGACAATATTTTGACCAGGATTGTAAACTGCAATTTATTGACAAACTTGTTCTTGAAGAGAGTTAACCAACCAAACTATGTAATAAGCACATTGCAGTAGCATTCAAGTATACAAGAATCCTTCCTAGCATTAATTTCCACATGGAAGGGAAAGGAGAAAAAAGAAATAGAATCCTTATAACACTTAAGGGAACAATGGACTCAAATGTTTAACACCATGAACACTTGGTGTAGGTTTCAATAAATATTGACAAGATTATGAAACTCCAAAAAACAAGATCATTATAAATAACAGGTAATATTAACAACAATCGGAACTAGATTTATGTGCAAAAGGTGTCTTTCTGTTAACACCTATGATAAGGCCTCCTATGAATCAAATATAGCTTGAATGCATGTTATCTCAATGATTCTAGAGTAACTATACTGGATATCCTATATATCCAGCTGCAGATAGGAGCCCTTAGCACCAGGTTTTAAAATCCCATTGTCATTTGCTTTAAACTTCTAGAATTGTTACTTTTCTAAAATAAATAATAAAAAAAAAAACCAAAACTCCATTCATGTTTAAATTATGCAACACTTTAAGACTTACAAGAATCATGAAGAGTAGCATTTGGAATCAATTCTTCTAGGAATCTTCTTAGGCTCATTTGTTTAAAGTTGTGCCTTTATTCTTCATAGAGAAGTTAATGAACATTGACTTCCACCATCTAACAAAAATAAAAATGACATCATAAATCATAAACTCTTAAATCATAAATCTCATTTCTACAGTATAAAGCATTGAAATGAAAATTTATTTCTCTTGAGATTGATAGAAACTCAAGCATCATTATGTACAAGAAAGCAACAATTCGAGTGATAAGGTCAATATTTATAAACTGAGAGAAAGAGGGGGGAGGTGCATTTAGCAGGTAGCTTGTGCACTTGATGTAATAGAGAAAGTACATAAATATAACATATTGTGGATGCTGTGTCATGCTAATTCCAAAATATTTTGGAACAACCATGTATCCAACCAGTAGATCCTATGTGGGCCAAAAGAGAAAAAAAAAGGATTATTCCAAAATTGAGTTATGTCAGCAACAAAGTGCAAGCAAATTTCCTTGGAGCTTCAATAATCAAATATTAACCTGGAAAGATCCAACATAGATACCAACCAAATGCATGCAGTATAATATCTAGCAACTTGCTGGTAGTTCTTAATTAATAAGAGTTGCAAAACATCTGACCAGGCAAACAAGATGGAGGCAAAGGATTGCATGGACTGGCGATACTAATAACTAGTCAATAAAGAGAATAAAATTCTTTACTTTAACAAAAATTAAGAAAACATGGAAAAATGTTTAAGAAGTGAACTAATCATTGGACTATGATAAAAAAAGTGTCAAGGTTTAAGGACTGAGAGGTTAAATTCCAGCTAACTATAGGTCAAATCATGTTCTTAGCAATATACAATAACAACGTGAGTGTAGCCAAGTATTGCTTATAACCATCAAGGAAGAAATCTTATCATGTTTTACTAAAAAGTTTCATAGACCACTTACATTTAGGGCAATTGTTTTATTAATTATTATATTAAAAATTGTGCCATCATAAAATGAACAAAAGCAATTTCATTGCCCTCCCATACAAGATATTGAGTTAAATAACTAAGGCAATTCTATTAGCATAGGTTATAAAAATCAAAGGATAAACTTGCTTAAATAAATCAACTCACTGTTAATGCATTTGTGTAATCAAAACAGCTGCAAAACACATGACACTTTGGTTAGTTAGAAAACTTTTTTGCATGATGATATGATTAATAACCTAAAAGACTTATATAATTTCCTCAATTTATATGACCCTTGGATGAAGAAACGGTAAGACCTCCCAATTCACAGAAAGAGACAATCTTAGAAACCTATCTAGCCAAATTTTAACCCAGACAACATTTACATGAGCATTTGCCTAAAAAAGGTCAAAGTTGTTAAATCAAACAGAGACAATAGGAAATTACATACTTAACAAAAAAAGAAAAAAAGAAAATTACCTATAGCAAGATGGAGCAATACATCAACTAACTCATTTGTTGGTAGACAAAAATAAAGAACCTGCTTTATTTAAGATTTAAAATGGATGAAGCAGGATGAATGCAAGAACCAGACAAGATTGAAAGTACAAGAGCTTTATTTCCTCTTCAATATGGACATCCAAATGCTTTAGGTGAACTTAGCAGAAAACAAAATAGCCTTACAAGGGAAAAAACAAGGTGTATCGTGCGTTTCGGTTCTTATATCATCCCTTTTGATGTGGGACAACAAGCAACTGAACAAATACTCAAAATTAGCACAATATAAGCGTTGAAGTAATTAGTCAAGACACGTTTATTAATAGTATTTTCAAAAATCGAACTTAACCTCAAAGTTACTTTAGGATGATTTTTTACAAATTTTCTGTTGATTTGTAAGATTTGAATGTAAGATATGTAATACTCACACCAGACTCATCCTAAAAAAAAAAAATAGATAAATTGTAGAATTGATGCGCAAATATAATGACAAAGCACCAAAGAAGAAAATGGTATCAGACCAACAGAACATAGGAGATTTTCATAATTTAAAAGGACTGCCCTCTACAGGCTTAGTTTTATGAACATATAGCAGCTTTTCACAGACTCCTAAATATGTCTCATCTAAGGAATATGATTTCCTCCCTCTACCATAAATTATAGGTTCTAAGCTCTGAATACGAAAGTAAATTAGTCAAACTGCTTCTATAACATTAAATAGGATTTATATGTATTAGAATTACCATGAAGGCCAATACATAATTCTTTAGGTATATAAAGTTTGTTCAGAACTAAAATATCAAATAAACCAATGCAAGAAAGTTAAAAGGTAGCAAGAAAGCACTAACTTATGTCACTCTATTCTTAAAAGGGGATACATGCTTTAGAATTCTATTTCATTTTCCTCACATTTCAAGTTTTATTTCATTTTTTCTTTCCTTTCCTCTCTTCCTTTTAAGCTTCCAAACATAACTCGTTACAAATTTAACTTTCATTTTCCTTCATTATCTCAAGAAACCCAAATAGAAGCAACGAAAATAACATTAAAACCTAAAAATAAAAAGAGATAATAGTATAGCAAAAACAAACCTCATCTTCAAGAACTGAAGTCTGTGATTTACCCAAAGCGCCATTTTCCTTTCCTTTCTTGGCCCCCATTGTGAAACCCTAAAAGTGTGTACATCAAAAAATTCAAGAAAAAAAAAAGTCCAATTCTATGAGATTAAAATAGATGAAATAAAACTTTAGTTTCATCCAAATCCAGAAATCGCCTTAAGGTTTTGATCATTGAATGAAAAATAATGCGATTTGAATAAGTTGAAGCACTAAACGTATACAACAAATAACCGGACGTATAGTGAAGGGAGCTTCAACTGTGAAACCGAAAAGAATCGAAAGTGTCCCTTAAAAGAGAAAGAAAGCAGAGTCGAGAAAAATGAAGGTTTTAAAAAAAAAATTTTGACAGCAGTGGAGCACTTAAATTAACACGGAAGCCATATAAAACTTATGTTTTCAAGTCATTTATTTTTGTTTTAACAGACTTGAGAGTATATTTTTTAATTAAAATAAAAAATAAAAGATATTAGATTTTTTATGAGTTGTATAAGAAAAAAATGCATTTAAATCTTAAATTCAAATATTGTAACGAAATATTTAAATGCAAAAATAAACGTGCATCTAAAGTTGTGTGATTAAAAGTCATTTATGTTGTATGGATCATATATATATATATATATTGAGCAATTATTGGTTGCTGAAAGAAATATATCAAAGTTGATATAGTTTCTTCTTTTTACTTTATGATCTCAAAATTTATTTATCAAATTTTAAGTTATAGTATATTCTTTTCTATTAAGAAACTTTTATTTTAGACAAAAAATTTATTTAATTTTAATTTTTTCATGAAAATATGTCTATTTTTACTTTCATATATTTGATAAACTTATACTTTAAGTGTTAAATATTTGAGAATTGGTCAAACCATGATCTAAAAATTTATTATTTTTATGATTATAATTGTGACATTCAAATACTAAATCTTTCTTGTGACGCAGGGCAAAACTACTCTTTAAAAAATGATAAAGGTTTAATGATTATTAATATTAAGCTTTCTTCTTCTTTTTTTACACGAAAATATATATACAAGTAAAAATTACAATTATAATTAAATATTATTAAATTGAATGGATAAAATAAATTAAATAAACAAATCAACGGACAGACTATAGTATATATAAGCAAATAATTAATTCTGACATAAAATTAGATGAAATCTATTTATACATGATAGAATAATTTGAAATTAAGACTTAAAAATTTCAAAATATTTTTTGTGTCATTGTAAAAATGGCTTGTTCATGAGCACTAAATCTTATAAAATGAAGAGCGTAATGAACTGACGTATAGGAGGTCCGTATACACGTTGCCCTTCAAATTTCAAAGTGCAACTAAAATAACGCCAAAAGAGGACGAATTTTCTACGTTATCAATTGTAGCCAGCGTAGGCTAGCTACCTACTAGTGCAGTATAAATTATGGGAACCTCCATTTACAAAGAAACCAAAATAATTTAGTTAACTCAACCAGGAATGGATTTGGAAATTTTAGGGTTACTTGCATTTGCAGCGTTTTTCGTATGGGTTGCATGGGCAAGCGTGCGTAGGCATTTCCAAGAGCCAGGGCAGCTTCCACCAGGGCCAAGAAGGTGGCCAGTGGTTGGCAATATTTTCCAGTTAAGTTGGCGGGAACCACCACATCTATCTATCACTAAATTGGCACGTCAACATGGACCGATCACGACACTGTGGCTCGGCTCAATGTGCACTGTGGTCATCTCATCCGGAGAAGTGGCTTGCGAGATGTTCAAGAACCATGATGTGGTGCTTGCAGGGCGCAAAATTTACGAGTCCATGAAAGGGAGTTACGGCAATGAAGGGTCTATTATTACATCTCAATATGGTTCACATTGGCGCATGTTGAGGCGTTTATGCACCATGGAATTCTTCGTCAGTAGCCGTCTTGATGCTATGAAAGGCGTACGAAGTAAGTGTGTAGACCAAATGGTGGAATTCATACAAGATGCTAGTGCTTTTGGAAGCAATGCCATCGATATTGGGAGATTCTTTTTGTTATTGACTTTTAATCTCATTGGAAATCTCATGTTTTCCTATGATTTATTGGATCCGAAATCGGAGAGGGGTGCAAACTTTTTATACCATGCAGGTAAGGTCATAGAGTTCGCTGGTACGCCAAATGTAGCAGACTTCTTTCCAATTTTAAAAAGGTTTGACCCACAGGGTATTAGACGTAAAACACAGTTTCATGTTGAACATGCGTTTCGAATTGTGAGAGAGTTCATCAAGGAAAGGATGGAAACTACGGAAAATGGATATAATGAAGGGAAGACGAGAAAAGATTACTTGGACGTGCTTCTGGAGTTTAATGGTGATGGTATAGGGGAACCGTCTAGGTTTTCTTCCACAACCATCGATGTCATTGTTTTTGTAAGTTATGCTATCGTTTCTTTTCCATGGCAAGCACGCATATGAATGCAACGATACAATCTTGATGATATTCACCCACATAATTCAACACCATTTCAAGCCAAAGCAGCAAAAATATTGTGTCCTTTTCACCACTATCCGTATCCGAAACAACAAAATAAATTGTTCAACTTTTTATTTTGGGCGTATCTGGCTGGATCCAACGCAGGATGCGTGAGGGTTAGAGCCGTGTCGTGCTTCATAGTCTCTTTTCTAACAAGTTTCCGATTAACTCATCTTTCAATCTTCTACTGAAATGCAAAGGCTAACTTAGTTTGCTTGTTATATATGTATATCAGGAGATGTTTACGGCAGGGACTGATACAACCACAGGCACTTTAGAGTGGGCTATGGCTGAGCTTTTACACAACCCACCAATACTCAAGAAACTCCAATCTGAATTGAGAAGTACTATAGGCCACGGAAGGAAGCTTGAAGAAAAGGACATTGAAAGCCTCCCGTACCTTAATTCAGTCATCAAGGAAACATTAAGACTTCACCCACCACTCCCTTTCTTAGTCCCTCACATGGCGATGACCTCTTGCAAAATGTTGGGTTACAAAATTCCCAAAGAAACACAGATTCTTGTGAATGTTTGGGAAATTGGACGAGACCCCAATACGTGGGATGATCCATTACAGTTCAAGCCAGAAAGGTTTCTGGAACTAAACAATATGGACTATAAAGGACAACATTTTGAGTTCATACCGTTTGGGTCTGGTCGGAGGATGTGTCCTGCCGTGTCTCTTGCCTCTCGTGTGCTGCCTTTGGCGTTGGGTACGCTGCTACATTCATTTGATTGGATCCTGGCAGGTGGGCTTAAGCCTGAGGACATGGACATGACTGGGCGGATGGCCATTACGCTTAGGAAATCCGTTCCCTTGAACGTTATTCCGTTACCTTACAAGTGACATGGACTATGCCTATCTTAGGAAATGTTCATAAATCATACTAATTAATAGCATTTGATTTTTTTACATATTTTTTTAATATTTCTATATAAAGTTACTTAGAACTTTTGATTTATTTCCATTTGTTGTGATTTTTTTCGTGTTTCAACAATTACAACTTACAAACAGAGTACCATTAAAAAGTATAATATGGGTCGAAAAAGTATTCTATAGTAAGTGTTTCATTTTGAAATTAGGTTTATATAGGTACATAAAAACAAATTATGTTCATTTTAAAAATTTATTCAAGTCTTCTTTTATAAAATTAAGATAGTTTTTGGTACAAGTAAATTGTATTACTTTCCTCAAAATTTAATTAAAGAGAAGAACTTTGCTTCATTTCGTACGTCAAGTTCCTGAGATTGTAACTTTGTTTAGGTATGAGACCGCCATGTGTGGGAGGAAAAGTGACTCCTTGGATCAGAGGGAATGTTACTTTTCCATGATTGAGGGTGTAAAGGGAGTTTTGGTGATAGGGAGAGAAAGTGTTGCAAATAAGTGAAAGAGATGTATTGGAAGCGATAAAGAAGAAGATTGGAGCAATTCCTTAAGTACAAAGTGTCGTGGTAGGTGAAAGAAAATATATGAATAGTAAAGTAATGATAGGTAAGCAGTAGAATAACTATACTGCCAAAAGAGGGCTGAGAATAGGTACATAATAAGTAAACGGTACAGTGAAGTTGAGAAACACTAAGCAAAAGAGGGCTAGAGAGAGAAGCTTTGAGTCAGAATTTGTTAGCTTCCAAAAAGAGAAGCCCCCCTCAAATGAATTGTGAAGGTTCTATATATAGTGCTAGAAATAGCAGTTATTTAAAGAATATGTTTTAATGCATGTAATAAATAACATTAGTAAGAAGGACTTTAATATTGGGTGACCGTTCCTAAGCTGTAATACTAAGTAATAGTTAGAAATCTATTATATGACTATTGGATTTTATAATCATTTATAATATAATAAGATTTTATGGAAGAGACGTACAATAAAAGCTATACGAGAACAAGTTAAAAAGAAAAGCACGTAAACAAGTACAAGAGAAGAAGAAGCTATATGTGAACATGTACAAGGAAAGAAAGTGTACATTAATAAGTATATGAGAACATTCCAAGATGAAAGCAATGTATAAATCCTGTCACTTATTTTGAGTTGTTTCCACTTACTATCCGCATAAAGTAATGTTTCACTTATTTTAGTTATTTTAGTTATCCTGTCACTTAATTTAGATATGAGCCAACCTTGGGTCGAGCCTATGCCATCATGGCCCAAGAAGAAAAACAAAAGATTATGGCGGCATCACATGTGCTCTTGATGGAGTTGACAACGCTGCTTGCACGAGGAGATGCTGTATTTGGTAAACACAGCAATAACATCACAAAAGATGGTGAACAGAGGCTAGATCAAAATAGATGCAATCACTGCACGAAGGGAAATCATTGCCATTAGAGCTGTTACAAACTCATCGGCTATCTTGAGCATAAGCAAAAAAAGAAGTGCAACTCTGACAATCGTACTCGCAACGAATTAGCATCAAGTAGTCAAAAAAGCATGACTTCGAATTTGCATACATCGGCCTTTGACTCTAGTCCCATGAAAGTGAAATATGGGTTCCTGGGGGTTATCGATGGTGGGGCTGCATCCTCACTTATACTAGGATTCATGGTCAAGCAGCACTAGTAGCTACTGGCCTTTCTTGGTGGTGGAAATTCAATTCTTCTCTCTACGAATATGGTGAATAACATGTCTAATGAGAAGGTTGAACCTTGGGTCATTGATATGAAAGCAATAGACCATGTCACTTATGACATTAATCAATTAACTGATCCTATTATGAGGTTTAATATTCTGTCAGTATAAATTCCTAATGGCGATTTAGTCCAGGTTCATGCATTAAAGACTGTTAATCTACATAAGAACCTTATTCTAGAAAATGTTCTTGGAGTTCCTGACTTTTGTTTTAACTTGATGTCAGTAAGCAAATTGACAAAGGACTTGGATTATGCATTAATTTTTTTGGTCGGATGTTTGTGTAATACAAGACTTACCATCAATGACGCTGATTGAAGTGGGTAAAATGCGAGATGACTTATACTATTTGGAGACTAGAGAAAAGGGCAGGGCAATGGTAGCTCAGTATTTAAAGTGGTTCGAGCTATGGCATTAGTTGTTGGGGCATTTTCCCATGAATCATCTTTTTCTTGTTCCAAAGTTATCTTTTACTGCTAATAAAGGGAAATGACATTTTTGTGATGCTTGTAACAAAGCAAAACAAACCAGACTACCTTGTCCTTCTTATATCGATAAATCATTACATGTGTTTGAGTTGATACACTATGATATCTGAGGACCATATCAACTTGTGTCTATACAACATGCTTAATATTTTTTTGATTATAGTTGATGAATACAGTAAAGCAACTTCGGTTTTCTTAATGAAGTTTAAATCAAAGACATGTGATTATTTGCTTTACCTTTTGAAATGGGCGCATAAATAATTCAGTTCGACAATCAAGACTATTTGCACAGATAATGCACTTGATTTCAAACACGGTGATCTTTTGGACCATTACAAGGAACTTAGTATGGAATGGTAATCCAGTTGCACCGATACACCTCAACAAAATGGGTTGTTGAGGAAAAACACCAGTATTTATTGGAGGTTGCTTGTGCATTACAATTTTAGGCCAATCTTCCATCAAGTTTTGGAGAGAATGTGTCCTGATGGCGGCTTATTTGATCAATCGAATGCCACTTACTATCTTAGGTAAAAAAACACCCTATGAGATGTTGTTTGGAAAATTACCAACTTATGATTATTGTGTGGTTTTGGCTGTATATGCTACAGCCACATTAATGATAAACCTCTTAACAAGTTTGCACCACATTTTCAACTAGGTATCTTTCTTGATTATCCACATGGATAAAAAAGCTATAAGATTTTTGGTCTTCCATGCAAAATTATTTATGTGTCTCGAGAAGTGAAATTTTTCGAAAAAACTTTTCCATTTGCAATTAACATAACAATAACCTCCACTGGTTCTATTTTGAATTTTTTGAACCAAAATGAACCATATGGATTAGATGACATTAGGGATGGCAATGGATACCCTATTACGAGGTACCCGCGGGTACCCAACCTGATTATATAGGGTATCTTATAAATGGGTTCGGGTAATAATTTTATTATTTATATTGGGTTCGAGTACCACCCGTTGGGTACCTAATACCCAAACCCTATTATGTTTTTTAAATTTTATATAATTAAATATGAATCTATATTGTTAATTAAATTAATTCACGAAACTATGATTATTAATTAATTTGTAATATTTTTTAATACATATACTCTATATATTGTGTTAATTTATAAAAAATATGATTACTATTATATATATCTATATATATATACTTTAAATATATAAACATATTTAATTTTTATTTTGTATTAACGTTATAGAATTATAATTTATAAAATTATTAATTATAATATATATACCTTTGTTTATATAAACTTATAAAATATATACTTAAAAAGAAGTTGCGATTATTAGAAAAATTTTAGAATGTAGTTATTTTTTTTAATTTCATGTAATTAATAACAAACCCATATTGTTAATTAAACTTGTAATGTTGTTTAAGTTGTTGTTTGGATATTTGTTTTTAGTTATTTAAGTTAATATTTGAGATATTTATTTTTGATTATTTAAATTTAAATTTTATTGTTTGTGTGCTTTTATAAATTTAATTATTAGTGAATTATATGGAGCATGGATGAAAAATTATTATATATAAATACAGGTACAGATTCGGGTTTAGTTAATTAGGTATTCATGAAAAGCATTTTAATAAATTTTTTACATAATCAAGTTTTTAAACAGGTTCAAATAATTATAGGATAGTGGATATGTATTAGGGTTTGGGTTTGGGTTAAGGTGGTAAATTTAAAAAATATTTGGATAATTATAATGTTCGGGTATTCCATTTACTAATCGAGTTCAGGTTCGGATACCTCAAAACTAACAAGTAGTCTACTCGTTGACATCCCTAGATGACATGAAACTCAGTCTTCTTGAGCAACCACTACATGACTCAACAAATTTGGGTCACTCCAATTTAGATAAGGCAACGTTTGGGCCCATTAACAACACATAGGTTACTCATGTTCCTCTTGAAACATTTAGCCCTTCACTTGATGCCCGACCCATTCTGTGTGAAGTTGGCTTGCCCATAGCCATGCAGCTTAAATTTGTAGGGCCACTCACGTTGCTAGACATTGCACCTTCTATTGATCAATCTATTATTGATACACCAATTGACACCGTTTTTGCTTGCCCTTAGTGACACCGCACCATGTACCACAAGCTTTGTGGTTTTGATGTTCAGTTGCCCCCTTCTCTTGCTCTTCCAAGCTTGTCATTGCATTCACCCAATCCATCGGTTTATTTGATGGTACATCTTCTCTCTAATACTATTTCTTATTCTAAATTTTCGTCTACTCATCACACTTTTTAAGCAACCATCTCTTCTGTGAATGAGCCTAAATCCTTTACTCAAACAATTAAACATTAGCATTGAAGAAACGCTATGGCCAATGAAATTATTGCTCTTGAGGCCAATCAAACTTGAATACTTACTCCATTGCTTCCTAGCAAGCATGCTATTGACTTTAAGTGGGTTTACAAGGTAAAACACAATTCAAATGGGAGCATTGAAAGATTCAAAGCTTGCTTAGTTGCCAAAGGATACACACAAATTGAGTGGTTGACTTTCATGAGACTTTTACACTGGTTGAAAAACTTGTTACAATTTGATGCTTGCTTGTTGTGGCCTTAGTTCGTAATTGGAAACTTCATCAGTTAGATGTCCACAATGTGTTCCTCCAGGGTGACCTTGACAAAAAGGTCTACATGAAAATCCCATAGGGTTTTGCAAAACAGGGGGAGATGCATGTTTGACGGTTACAAAAGTTATTTTATGGACTACGATAGGCCTCTAGAAATTGGTACCACAAATTCACAATAACTTTACTTGCCATTAGTTTTCATCAATTGCAAGTTGATCATTCTCTTTTCTTATTCAACGTTGGCACATTTTTTTTTTGCCGTTTTAATTTGAGTCAACAGTGTTATTGTTACTAGTAATGATGTTGTGTGCATTTGCAAGTTCAAGCATTATCTGGATTAGAAATTCCACATTAAAGATCTTGAGAAGCTTCAATATTTTCTTGGCATTGAGGTGGCACATTCCTCTTTTAACATTGTTATCTGCCAAAGTAAATACACACTGGATATTCTTGAGGAAAGTGGACTTTTTGGAGCAAAGCCCTCTTCTTTCCTAAGCATAATCTTCAACCTGATGTAGGCCCATTACATTCTAACTCAGATCGTTGCAAACGTTTAGTGGGCCAGCTTCTCTTTTTGACCATCACGCAGCTTGACGTTAGTTGTGCAATCCATATACTTAGTCAATTTATGCACTCTCCGCGTCAATCACTTCTTGGTGTTACCTATCGAGTTTTACATTATGTAAAAAGCTTTCTTGGTCAAGGGCTTTTTTTTTCTTTCGGATGGTCAATTATCTATGCGAGCTTATTGTGATGTAGATTGGGCCGGTTGTCCAACCACATACCTATCCATTACTAGTTACATTGTGTTCCTTAAGCCTTTTCCTATTTCATGGTGGGCCAATAAGCAATCCATAGTCTCTCACTCTTCCACTAAAGTCGAGTATCGCACCATGGCTTCCACTTCCAGTGAAATAATCTAGCTCGTTTGTCTCTGGCATGATCTTCGTGTCATTTGCATTATACCAGTTCCACTCTTCTGTGACAATCATGTAGCCTTCCATATTGTGGCCAACCTTGTTTTTCACAAATGAAACAAACACATTGAGATCGACTACCATTTTATCTGACAACACATTCAGTCTTACGCCATCATTCCCAAATCTATTTCTTTTTAGTTTCAGTTGGCAAATATTTTCACTAAAGCACTCGATCGTGATCAATTCCATGAACTACTCCAGAAGTTGGGCATTTCCTCTCGCCATGCGCCAACTTGAGGAAGCGTAATGGAGGAAATCCCATGATTTACAGAAATGGAGGGTCTCATATTTTCCATGATTCCTTAATGGAGGAAATCCTATGATTTACGAAAATGGATGAAATCCCATGATTTATGAAAATCCCATATTTTTCATATTTCCTTGTACTATACCATTAATGTACAAAGTCAAATTGTCTTATTTTATGAATGAACATAATCTTAGGATTTAGCATTAATACCTTTTATTCTTCTTTGCATTATGTATGTAACATTTTTATATTCAATAAGACACACCAGAGAATTCAGTAATTCTTTATACCTTTTAAGGTAAAATATTGAAATGATGGGGCATGATTGAATGCCTTTCAAATTCTATCTCTCTTTTTATACAATAATGTAATTCATTGATAGGCAAATGGTGTGCAAGAAACGACAATTTATGGTTTAGGAGGCAGCTTTATGATCTCTTTAGAAGCTAGGAACGAGTCTTTTTTTGAATGAAAAAAGTGAAACATGAATGATTTTTCTTTTTTTGTAAAACTTTGGTCTCTTTATTAGATTACAATAGTGGATGAGGATAATAGTATATATAACGGCCCAACACCAAACACCAACCTAGCAACTTTTTGGACCTAAACTACGTAACCTTCAAGAGCTCAAGTTCAAGTTGTTAGTAGTAATGGATTTGGATTGTTATATAAGTCTTAACAATCATATTTACATCAGATGTGGGATATGGGGGTATCACAGTATACTTGACATTATTCCATGGATTGATCCGAGAACTAACTATAAGTCATTGGTTTCAAACAATCATTTATGTAGAAAGAATGTTCAATGGAAACCTCCACAAATCGACTTCCTCGAGTTTAATATTAATGTTTCAGTTAAAGGAAAGCCTTGTCCTTTGAGATGTGGAGGAGTATTGAAAACCTCTGAAGGTATTATTCTTGTTATGTTCTCTAAGCCTATTGGTGTGCTGCAATCAAATTATGCTATGTTATATGCTATTAAAGTGGCTTTAGAAGCATTGTGCAACTCTGTTTGGTTGGTATTTAGTTATCTGCATAGGAAGATCTTGGAGGTGACTTTGCATTACGAGATGGAGTTGTTTGGTGTTTTAGTCTTGGCTATTTTGTTTTGTACCAAGGTTGTTCCTGTGGTTTTGAAAGTGTGTTGCTGCAAATTGCTATATATAACTTGACTAATCTTCACTAGTCTTTCTTCTTGTATTGTCCATGACAATATAATGAAATCTTGGCTTTGAAAAAAAAAAAGTATAATGCTTTAAAAAACTTATGAACTATTTAAGAAAATTCAAACAAATTTTTATTCTTTTATTGCGTTTAATCAAATTTTTATACTTTATAACTAATAAAGTAGAACTTTAAGACTAATGGTTACCTAAATGTCATTATTCAAAATACCACTTATTTTTTTTTATATCATGTGATGCTTATGTGTAAGGCGAAAAAAGTCATATGGTTATATTATCATGTAGCATCAACATGTCATGTTATAATTTATTATGACATATCAACATACCACATTATCATCACATGGCAAAAAAAAAATGACATTTTCACTAATAACAGCTAGTTAGTCATTAGTTATAAGGGTTTATTTGATCTAAAATATGCATAGGACTTGATTGAACTCAACAATAAAATTTAGATTTATCTAATTTTTTTTAAATAATTCAAGAGTTCTATTAGATATTATGAAAAAAATGAAAATAATTGTAACAAATTTTTCAGAGAAAAAGGAGAATATGATTTAACTATTTAGTAATTCTAGTATCACTTGCGTATAAAATATGGATAGGTAAGCGGTTATCTGAAATTACCCATGCAAATGGGCTCCGCTTAAAGTATTTAAGAAGAAAACGTGAGGATTTCATGTCTGCTAGCGTGAAGAAATCTGACTCCCACACATGGCATAGAATTCTAAAAGGCAGAGATGTTTTATCTATGGGTATAGGAATTAATATTAACAATGGGCATAGTGCTAAATTTGGACAGATTCGTGGCCCTCTTTACAAGCTAGCAACAAAGAAAATTTCAGACATAGAGGCAAAGCTTCCTGTGGCGAGTTATTGTAAAGATTGTGGTGGTTGGGACTTCAATCAACTCTTACAAATCCTTCCCCATAACATTGTTTTGCGAATACTGACAGTTCAAGTTGATCCTTCAAGTGTTGAGGAAGATTGTGAGTTATGGGAGATTAACGAGTAGTGGAACGTTTTCAGTGAAAACCGCATATGATGCAAATGGACAAGGAAACCCCTATTGCCAGTTTCTGGAATCAACTATGGAGGATGATGAGTCCAAGAACAGTTCGGGTTTTTCTATGGCGAGTTCGCCATGAATCCTTGCCTACAGTTGATTGGTTAATTTCTAAAAGTTTGGGCTCTTCTGCAGCATGCTCTAGATGTGGTGCGTGTGTGGAAGGCATTTCCCATGCTCTTAGGGACTGCAAACCAGCTAAACTATTTTGGCTCCAATGCAGCACTAGTATCATTGAGGAAGCTTTCTTTTATATGAGTTCAAAGGACTGGGTTTTAGATAATATATCTAATACTGTGACTTATGAAAATCTTCCTTAGAACTTGTTCTTCATTCATGCATTGTGGTTCCTATGGTATTGGAGCAATTTACGGAAGTTTGATGATAATTTTAGGTGGCCAAGTAATGGATGGCAACAGGTATGCACGAGGGCTAAAGAGGCATGGGATATCATGTAGAAACAACAACAGAGATTAAAGAAAGAATGATTTATTTCTTGGAAGCAGCTGATACATCCCTATGTGAAGATAAATGTGGATGAAAGTGCAAAAGGACAACCAGGTTTGGCTACTGCTGGAGGCATATTACGTGATGAGACTGGAATCGGGTGGTTGGATTTATTTTCAAAATTGGCATATCCTTTTCGCTTGCTGCAGAACTGTGAGGTATATAGCAAGGGCTTAAGCTCTGTTAGGACAAAGGTTACAGGGCTGCTCATGTTGAATCTGATTCTCTTTTAGCCCTGCAGAAGATTGAGCAAAGAAATTCAATGTTGGAACTGAATGCTCATATACTACGAGACATTAAGGAGTTGTTGAATTGAGACTAGAATTGCACTCTCACTCACATTCATCGTGAAGTCAATCAATGTACTGATTGAATGGTTACTCATTAATGAAGGCTATCTTAATTATTGATTCTAATTTACCATGATTACCATTTCAATTGATATGATTTGATTGACTTGGTTATTCTAATTGATTTGATTGTAATTTTTCTTAATTATAGGCTTGATCTAGGGAATTCTCTTTTATTGCATAGATTATTTTTCCTTTTGTATTGACAATGAAACTTGTATATAAACCCCTAGTGGTTTCTCAATAAAATCATCCCACAGAGTATTCAAACTCTTTATGGTATCAGAGCAGGTTGCAGACAACCTAAGCTAAATTCTTATGGCTGATAAGGGTGAAGGAG